GTTTAAAATGAGCTGTGTATGAAAGATAGTTATAATGTAGAAGAGACAATGTTACTGCAGTATGCGTTTTACACTGAACATTAAAAAATTTAATAGTACTTACTCAATTTTAAAGTAACAAATAAAATACGCTACTCTTAACATAAAATTCCTTTTTTTTTTTAATTTGCAGGGATTTTTTTTCTTTAAATGCCTGTTTATTTCTAATAATTTCTTTATCTGTGATTTAATTAAGAGAACTCTACTACTGCTTCTAAGACAACTATGATAACAGCTATTTAAAATTAATCAAAAAGCAACCTTAAATTGGCATAGTTTTCAAAATTTCTGCTAATCTAAATTTGAGTTTCAGCCTAATTGCAAATTTTACATTGGTATATTTCCCGATTCAATATAATAACATATATTTTTAAAAATAATTTTGTAACTTTGGCTGACATCAATATTACATTTAAATAAATACATGTAAGATTGTTATCTTAATTTACACAAAACAATTTTACTCACAGTACCTAAAAAAATTATTTAATTTTTCAAAAGTGGGGGTTAAGGAGGCAGGTCTTCTTATGCCAATTACTTTAAAGTTATATTATTATATTTTATCTAGAATGCTAAGCTAGCACAAAATCGAATCAATAATAACACAGGATACAAAAAAAAAAAAAAAAAAAAAAAAAAACTTTAACAATAACTTAACAAAATTAGTTTTCTCATTTGAAATATGCTTTACGCTATTAACTTCTAAAATGTCATGTACAAATATTTCAAATCAAAACATATTATGTATGCTTTCTTGTACAGTCACAATGCAACTACAATTTGTTGAAATATTATTTATTGGCTGCCACATTCGAAGCAACACACTTTTTGTCTTTTGGGTTGCTTTTCTTTGGGAAAAAATACATGCATTTCTATTTAAGGAACACATTCTAATAAAAGTTCTCACTCTGCAAAATAAACGAATTGCTTCTCTGTTAACTTCAGGATAATATTTCTCCAGTTTATTAATTAAAGAGCCAATTACATGCTTCCCTTTATAGTAAGCTGTACCATGAACTGCATAAAATATGTTTTCGAACTCGTAAACTATATTCATCTATGAATGGGAAGGTGTAGTCAAACCTTTTAAGGACAATAATTTAATCCATTCTGAATTAAAATATTGGTTCATCAGCACTATTTTTAGATATTGTTCCCAATGATGGGTCTTTGTCTCGCACACGATAGGCAATATAACCTGCAACATATGTTAATGCTTCTTTTTCGGCTGTCGAAAATTGTCTGTCGGAATTCAATTCTAATTCCCATGCCATAGGAGAAGGTTCCTCTATGAAATCTAAATCCAAATCATCAATAGTATTTAATGGAAAAGATCTTCCTCCTCAGTTTCCAAGTATCCCTTTCAAGTACTTCGGATGTTAAATATGAATCAATATTTCTGCTTTCTTTAGCCATGCATACTTTTGAAGATAAATTTGGCAGCTTATTAGTGAGTATTAATTGCTTTAAGCGGCGTATAACTTCACTAGGTGATGGATGGTCATTAAACCTACCAAGCCCTCTAATCTGACTAAAGAGACTTTCAAGTGCATCCTGAGTTAATCTAGAGGTTAAAATATATTTAGCATCATACGATGATTTCAAATCCTGGTGTAGGCCAAAAAAGAGAATTTATTGAAATTATTATTCCTTTATGGAAAGGCAGTAAGTTGGCTTTTCCCTGAACTCTTAATCCACCAATGACTTTGTTCATTAATTCCAAAACATGAATTTGTTTTTCGTGATGTTCATTTAATCCAAATGCTGCTTTAAGTATTTTATCTGAAGGAGAGTATGGCTTGGTACTATTCATAACATCAAAAAAAAAATTGCCGATTAACTCAAAGAAGTCAGATGCTTTTTGATTTCCTGTGAGGTGGAGTATACCTTTCGCGGTAGTTCCTGAAAATAACGTTTTCGCTGGAACGACATTTTGTCTCTCGTTTCCCTTGACCATTAAATAATTTGGTTTTAGTTTGTGACACAATTTAATTTTTTCTGAATCTCTATTTAAAACCTCTTTAATAATATCAATATTTAAAACAGTTCCATCTTCTAAAACAAATCCTTTATCTAAAAAGTGGTTTCCCAGTAATTTGAAGCAGTGCGCTAAATCTGCAAAATCCCATATTTGTTTTCATTTTCAATGCTGTATTTGGAAACTGAGAACTATTAATCGAAATCTGTAACTCTTTCACAAAGTACTAGATCCTCCTAAATCAGACACTATTGCTTTCACTTCTACTCCAGATGATTGAATATGTCTTATGAATGAAAAAAAAAATAGAGAAAAGAAAAGTTCTTTCTTCATTGGAGTGTTAAAAATCAAAAATATTGTTTCCACTGTGAAATGAGACCTCTGATTAAAACATGAAAAGGACCGAGAATTTGGTCCAGTATAGAGTCATAGCAGAGTTTAAAATCTATATGCATTTCGTCGAAACCGAGAACGCATATTTTTTCTACAGAATTCAAATATTTGCATCGTTCCTTCATTACAGCAAGAACATCACTCTGAATTCCTGAACTACATGAAAATTTAGTGCACCACCTCCTTAATATATTAGTGCTAGGTAAAGGAATTCCTATTTTTTCTTACCAAAAATCGTAGCTTTTAGATGACAGAGCTCTTGTGACAATGCAACATGAAATATCTTCAGTAGTCCACCTGATTTTTTTCCTTCTTTTATAGCAATGCGTTAATCTGCGTCTTTTAAAATATGCTTTAGACCGTTTTTCCAAATTCTCCGATCCGTGCGGTTTTTTCCTGAATTTCGCTGTTTGGGATTTTAATTTCTAAATTTCCGATACAAATTTCTTTTTAGATGTCGTCCACCTTCTTTGTCGCTGAGCAAACATTCTAAATTTTTTCTTTTCTCTATTTTTCAATATTTAATTACAATTTTCTAAGAATATTATTTTGTTCTTCAAATTATCAATACATTCTTGTTTATCTTTACACTTAGGGCATTCAGGGATATTGTCACTTAGGACATTGTCACTTGTGAATTTTATTTCAAAATCATTGACATTTGATTTATTATTGTCAGCTTCAATTTCGTTCTCGTCCTCAAAATAAATTTTCTTTGGGCTTAATTCGTGTAGCTTTCCAAAACCACTCTGCATTAGTTTTCTTTTTGAATGTCTCCGATTTCTTGGTTTTATTTCGTTTATTGCACACGATAAATTTACTTTCGGCACAGTATTGCATTTCAACAGTTTCTTTTGTGGCAATCCAAGCTAGCGATTTCTTATGTCATCTTCATAATCACTGCACAGAAAATGTTCGCAACAAATTCTTGCGTTTTTCACATTAATAGAATCCTGTTTTCGACATTCACGTATCCATTCTTTCGTCAAAAGCAAATTGTTCTTTGGGAAAGCATGAAATACAATATCTCTTCCTTTAGTATTTCTATAAGCGTTACGGCACGTTGCTACAGTACAAGAAGCCATATTACATAAAGGATACATTAAATATAGAATTTAAAAGGAAAACTGACTAAAACTATATATATATACAAATTATTAAATATTTGCATTATTAGAAAACAAATATGTATGATTAAAATTAATTTGCGATATGCGACCTCCAGAAAATCGTTTCGCTACTGAATGAAACTACAGTTTTAAATGCGCGAAAATCAGAGCAGGTGCAACACAGACACGTCAGATTACTTCCGATTCACCCCCTCCATGAGGCTCGCGTCGGTGAGGAATCGAACAAAGAAATGACCTAGCCCTTCTATTTATCCCTGCAAGTTACTTATAGTTCCACTTTCCTAGTCTGAGAGATCAGAACCTACAAACTAAGAACTTAATATTCTAAAAACATAGTTGCAAATCTCTTCTTGCAATAATATCCAACACACTCAAGGAGCTTTTCTTTTCAACATATACCATTACATATAGTGTGGCAAGAATCTATGCATATTTTGAAAGTTCATTTTTATTAGCGTCTTGAGAAATTACTATTGTTTAATCACTACTAACCTGTTTCCATTTTGCATGATGGATTTTAATAATATGATGCAATTTTAAGTGAAATAAATAACCCCCTTTTCTCAGTCAGTAGCGCTTATAGATTCATTTGAAAAGAAAGAGGTTACTGAGCAACACTGGAAAAGAGTCAGTAAGCTAAAAAAATAAAAGCTGGAAATAACACTTTATCCTAATAAATTCGTATCCTAATAAATAACAATAAATACTATTCTAATAAATAAGTTTAAACCCTAATAAATAAACTGATATAATATTTATTGCCTATTTAACCTTCTAAATTCCTGGTCTTTACTAGCTTCTTTAAATGGATATCTAGTAAAAAAAATTTTTTGATTATTTTAAAAAGCACATTATTTTCACCTTTCCATATTCAGTTTGATACATCTTAATCGTTTACTCACCAGATTTACTAATTTTCTGATATTTTTTATTTCATTACCACTAAGTTTGAGGAAAAATATAAATATTAAAGAGGGAAAACTCTAGATAAATCTTGTTTTGAAAAATTGAGATTACAGTCCAATACACCTGGGCAAAATTTATTACTAAAATTTAGGGGAGAAAATTAAAACATAAATAATTTTGTAAAGGTGGAAAACAGCTTATCGATAACAGAAATATTCATGAAATCATAAGAAAGTTACATTCACATCTACTTGCTTGTTTACTGCATTTTTACGATCGTGATTACTAAAAAGATCACCTCAAAGGAATTTATCAGAAGATGTAACAATCCAATTTCATAAGAAATAATTACTCATTTCCAATGAGGGACCCACATCATTTAGTAAATAATTTCCACTTAATACTCATACATACAACTTTGATAAATAAATAAACATCACAAATAAAAGTATTTCTTGGTTATGAAGCTATATAGATACATAAATCACACATCTGAACTGAAAGAATATTATAAATAATACATTTCCCATACTGCAAAATAAAAACATAATTACCTGTTTCTTCAGTATCTTCACACTCCATTTTTTTACTATCATTCACAAAATCAGATCCATTTCTGAGAATCCAAACTACTCCTCCAACCAGTTGCTTAAAATTTTCAGAAAGAAACTGCTCTTTTGATAAATATCTGTAAATGTTGCGCATGAAATTATATTTCAGTAAAGCTGATCATTTGAGAATCCTTTATAAATATAAATTATCCCTATACTACTATCTGAATATTCAAAGCACAGAAGTATTTGGTTTTTAAAGAAAATATCATAAACAAACACTGCTGTGATACTTTCATAACAACAATTAATAACACTGTATGTACTCGCATATTTTCCCTCTAGCTTTTTAGCATGGGGTTCTGAAAATTTTTTTAATTTTTGCATAAATTTCCTCTTTTTCAAAGCACTAGGAGAATGAGATATCCAAAATTTTAAAATGTATTCATCCACATAATGATTGTATTTGTCTTACTGTGAAGGTCATGCTGAACCCATCCCTTTTAACTACTGATATTACACGAACCAACCAGTCACAGAGAAGCAAACCTGCACTGAGATTCAGTCTATGATTTTGCTCATATTCAGTCTATGATATTCAGTCCTGCACTGAGATTCAGTCTATGATTTTGCTGTGTGTCAGCTGCATATTCACTTTTTCTAATTATTTATGAATGATTTGAGGCCTAAGAAGTAGCAGAGACAATAAATAAGAACATGCGAGATTCATGTTACCAGGTAGTACAAATGAAGATATTTTATTAGATATTGTAATATTAATATTACAAAGTATTCTTATTGGAATGTAAGTTCCTTTTAAAGAAATAATATCATGATAGTTATCTAGAGTTTATCCATGACTACTTTTCATTTGTTATGTTTTTACTGTAACTACATCTTTCGGTAATTAAATTATTCACAAAATTTTTCCTTCTTTATTTTTGGTTGATAAAATTAGTAAAAAATCATTTACCATAAGTTAGGAAATATGGTAAATGTAAAATCTTCTAAGCTAATATAAGCAGCCATTAAATTTATCTCTTACTTCATTACTTATAAAGGGACATGAAAAATCATTCAGCATAATAAAACTAATATCATGCGATTTCATTTCAGATATTTTCTTACGTTCAAATGTAAGATATTTATATAGAAATATATATCTAAAAACTTAATATAAAAATTAACATAACAGCGGCAATTAAGTTTAACACTGATCCACTCGCTACATCAGCTATACTATGTGATAGCTATGTGTAGAAGCTATCACATCTCGTATGTAGCTCTTATGTATTCTCTCTCTCAAAATTCATATAAGAGAACAATAAGAGTTTTCATAAAATATTTCTAATTTATATGCTTTCACAAGAGATCAGCAAAATCAAATGATAAAATTAAATTTTTGTCACTTTTCAAACTTTAATACATATACAAATTTGCAAGTAAACAGTGATTTAATAGAAACTATCAAAGAATTAAAATTCAGCAAAATTCAACTTTAGCCTAATGTTAATATCACAGGAAAACTCTATGAATTTTAAAGGGGGAACCAACAATGATCCTTCTAAGAGGGGTTACATTTTATTAAAGAAGATGGACCTATGTTGATCTTTCTGGAAATATATAAGGATTTTCTATAAAGCCACATCAATTTAATGATAGATTTTTAATTAATTTTAAATTTCATATTAGTGCATTTTTGTTGTATATATTGTTAAAAATTTCTTTACTTTAATAAATTCTTGACATTTGATAGTTTAACTAGTAATTATGAAACTTTTTATAAAAAATTCAATTACCATTTCTTTTTCTGTCTCCCATATTAGAATATACACTTAAATTACAAAGTAATGATTGATTCTTTCAGTAAAACGTTAGTAGCTAAATTTTTGGTTAATATTTTCCAAATCTAGTTGATGAATTTTGAATCACATAAATTAAATTAACATATATTTTCAGAATTCTTAGCTCATACATATATAATGAAGCAAACAAAGAAGCTAGTTCAAATAACATATGAGTGCAGAACAGAATAAGGCAGCATATGTATAGGGATGATACTCTTACAATTGTGATTTAAAAGTTAATTTAATATACGTACAAATTATGGAATAAGTGATTCAAGTACTTTTCCATGAAGAAAAGAATCTACTTTTTTTTAACATCATTTATTTAATACAGAATCTAATTAAGCTAAAATAAAATAAAAAGATTTTACCCAACAAAGATATGACCATCTTCAGTAAGCCCAAAGTGTACATTTTGAATGCCATTTGAATCTTGAGCTCTTCGGCTGTCACTTATCACATTACCTGTAAAAAAGACATTTTACAGAAAACCAAAAATTATTGCATTAAAACAATGAACGCGTGAAAACCATACTTTTGTAAATGAAAAAGGAAAATATATACTATAAAGTAAATATCTGTAAAAACTAAATGAAGACTAATTAAGTCATGTTAATTTGTTAAAAAACTGTTAGTAATAACAAAGGATTATTTTACTTATATCTAAACCTCAGAAATTATTTAGTTACAGATAATTTATATTAACTACTATTAAAATCAATTAAAAATTATTAAACAGAAATATATATTTTAGCATGTAAATTAATTAGGACAAAGTGATTTTTTTGATAATTTAGGTAAATGCCTTCGGATACAGTGAAAATAATAAAATTAATAAGAAATGTTCTCCTTCAGCAGAAAAGATCTCTAATGCTTAGACATTAACTCTACTAGTTTTGTGCATATAGTTTTTTACTTCTTTATCCTAGAACCACACTTTTATAGGATTCTTAATCATGTACTCTATCACACAATTCATTTTTATAAGATGTTTCTCAAGAATGCCCTACAAGTTTTCGGTTGAATTTAAGTCTGGTGAATTTCCATTCAATTTTATTTTCCAACATGAATTTTCTGAGAGATGTATTATGGCATGCAGTCAAGTCATGCTGAAATGTTCTCACAAAGGTTTTTAATAATGGCACAATCCTATGCTTTAAAATTTCTATATACTTCAATAAATTCATCATTCCATCAATAGGAACTACATACAATGCCATTGTAGTGAAGTGAATTGTAGTGAAGAAAAACATTCGGCAAGCATAATCTAGAGCCATTGTAGTGAAGAAACTGCAAAACATTTGTTTATGAAGGTATTTTATAGTTTGTTGAGGTTTTACATTGGTTCACACTTGCTTTGTCTAACATTAGATCTGTAACCATAAACAAAAACACAAGTCTCATCATTGAAAGTGACCTTTTTTGCAGTCATTTATTGTCCAAGATTTCTATTTTTTGACCCACAATAATCGTTTTTGCTCTATCTGATGCATCAAATTAATTTTTTTTATTATTTTTCTCATCTTCAAGCCAGCAGGGAGAAATCTATGCCACACATTTGGCTGATGAATATCAATCCCAATAGACAAGAGATTTCTTTTGGTCTTTGGTAGCTTTCTGTTAGATTCATAATGCTACTTCAGAGTAGGAATGAATTAGATGTTAAGAGTATTTTTCCTTTTCCTTCACATTTGCTCTCCTTTTCTTGAAAAAATGATCCAGTTTCATTGTTTCTCCTTCAGAATTTGAGAACGCTTGATTTTCCAACACCAACTGGGAACTCTCAAGCCAGAAATGAACAATAAGGCTAGCCTTGTATTTGTTCTTTTTGGAGACTAGTCTCAGGTTTGTTATTTTAAACACCATACATGGAATGAATGCACTGTTTCTCAAGCAGAATTTCTCTGTTTTTATTTTGCCGTCAAATGGATCAAGGATAATGGGACAGCATCCTCAGGGTACCTTATTTGTTCCAATTTTCTTTCTTCTCTTCACTTTTTAAAGAGTATTACCAGCAGGGACAAATTAGTAATCGAAACTCTATTAACAGCCAGTTCACCTAGGAACAGGGAAATTGATATTCGTTTTGCTTATGTGTGTGTGCCCATCATGGATTCCATGGAAATGAAAAAGCTGATTTTTTAGATAAAGATGCATTAAATTTTCCCCCGTTAATATCAATATTAGCACTGTAAAGAGGTATTTGAAGTTCTTTCATTATAAGAAGCTTTTAGCTAAGTGGAATATATTTCATCTTGTAATGTTGACAGCACCAAAAAGGTCTTTTCCTTTTATTTATTATAGACAGCATTACAAATGTCTCTCTATTAATTTTTTAAAAGTATCTCAGTTTTTATCTGATCACGGTAAATTTGCAAGTTACCCATTTCATTTCAATCTACGATCAAATAACTTTTGTGAGTGTTGGAAAAAAAGTTTCAAGATCTGGAACATTTAATTTTTTCTTGCCTTACCCTCGACGGCTCTAGATTATGCTTGCCGAATGTTTTTAAAAAGTTTGGCATGGCTTAGCCAGTGAACTTAACTGCTTTCATGAAGTTCAAATGCTTTTTTCTGTTTTTGCTCATTTTATTTATGCATGTAATATTTAATGTTTTAGTTAACTTACTTTTGCAAGCCCTGTGCTGTACATCTGGATATAGAGAGATTATATGCATTCAAAACAAAAAAAAAAAAAAAAAAAAAAAAGATTGAAAAAAAGGGGGAAAGCAATATTTCACAGACATGGATTGTGTGACCATTTGATAATCTTTGCTCTTTCTCGGCATCATATCCATTTTAGTACACCAAAATGAATTAATGCAAAACATATAAAAAATATATGCAAAAGTAATTTCCTCTTCACACAGAAACAAGCTTAAAAATAGTGCCATAATCCTAATTTATTGTCTAAACTAGTTCTAAGAAGTCGAAAGCAAACATCCAGATGACATATGACACTAACCCTCTCAGCGTTATGGATGTAAAGTTCTGTAATATACAATTCGATTCGATAAATACACATACAGCTTTCTGAGTTGCTTTCTTATTAATTACACACAAAGATTTCTATCAGCTTTTAAAGTATCTGATTTGGGTTGGATGTATACTGGAAGAAAAATCAAGGTACAAAGTGAGAGAGTAATTTTTTAATTATAATCAAGAAAATACTATTTATTCATGATATTTTGAGGAACTTCCCAATTTCAGGCCTAAATCCATAATGCTTGGAGGGTTAAGGTAGATAAAACTACTCTGAGGGACCTGCTGGCAACCAACTTAAAATTCAGAGAAAAAAAATTGCTTTGTCCCAATTAATTAATTCATGTAATATATGTATGTATATATTTATAAATTCTGCTTCATACAATACAAATGTCAGTGATAAAATATCTAAAACTGAAAAGAGGGAGAAAATCATTCAGATATTTTTAACAGATTATATTAAATGATAAAAACTTAAATTGCATTTGAAAACCTACTATTGATGACATAATTTTTCATACAAAGCTAAAAGCAAAAAGAAATTGCAAACTTTATGCTTTATGTAGAAATATTCAGGAATTGTTGCACTCAAATTTTAAAGGATTAATGGTATAAAGTGACTCCATTTTTTTTCTAAATATGTTCAATTTTAAGCTAATGAATATTGTCAGATGCACATAAAGAAATACTCTACACCAGCAATTCTCAACCTTTTGACTAATGTGTACCATCTAAACTAAAATTGAAAACCTTTAGTACCATCACTACAAAGTACTACTACCACCATTACTCTTGAACAAAGCTCGGATCGCATAAATTTACAAGTGTTAGAGAAAAAACTCAATCAGGATTTGGAGTTTTAATTTTTGAATTTAATAGTTAAAAATACTTTGCTTCTTTGCGTACCACCTATTTTTCTCTTGCGTACCACCAGTGGTATGTGTACCACCAGTTGAGAACTCCTGTTCTACACAGTTCAAATGACATTTAGAAAATTCTTATTTTACTATTACAATTGAAACTATCATAATTTACATAAAATCTGATTCATTGTACACTAGTTGTGATAAATATTCAGTTTACAAACACTCCCCTTTTTTTAATCAAGAAAAGAAATTATAGGTAAGTTTTAAGGCAATACTTAAAATAGAAATTACTTTTTTTAATGCTCTGATATGCATAGCTATAGTAATAATAATAGATGTGCATTGTACAATAAAATGCTGATTCTAGCCACATACTTCGCAACAACCATCAGAATGGCAAAACAAAACACAATAGCAATTATCATAATTGTTATTTTTGTATTCAGAATATACACTGTTGATTCAAATCTGAGCATCAATGACACCATAAATGTTTTATTTTAATGCCAACCTCCATTTTATACAGTTAAAATTGCTGAAATATGGAAAAGACATTCAATATTAATAATTTAATAAATTCTGAATAAGAAAATTTAAACAGTTTGTAACATATGAGTCATCTTATTTCATAAAATACATGTATGTTAAAACATAAAATAATTTCAAGCAAAATGCCAGCTTTAAGAAAGTTTAGATAACTGCAATACCTTTATTGGCCACTTTCTAATTATTTGCAAAGCCCATTAGCAGCCAAATGATAAAGTTGCTGAACACTGGTAGTTTGATCTGGGTTCGATTAACGGTGAACAGGCTGGCTGCAGGGGCATTTCTGTGGTGTTCCTAATGTGTAACATGGATAAGTCAGTTCTCCTTAAAAAATCCTCCACAAAGTCATACTTGCCTTTAGTCCTTGCATGTTTTGCCATAATTAAAATAAACCACATCTGATTATTCATGGACCCACCAAAAAGTTATCAACACACTGCAACTTTAGGAATTGGTGAGAAAGTTTTGTTTGGCTAACATTCTGTCTTATGCTTTACTCTGTTCATAACTAGTTAAAATAAAATTATAAAAGAAAGGAAACTTTAAATTTAAATAAAACTCTATGTGGCCAATATTTATTTATTTTTATAGCTGGTAGATGCTGTTTAATTAAAGCAGGTAAATCCACCTGTTCACATAATCCATGTGTACATGTATGGTATATGCAGGATTGTCTGCTCTCACACATATGTCATGGAGGTAAGAAAAAATTAATTCTTCTACTCCATGGTGTATACTCGAAAATACACCAAAACAGACCAGTTATACTGAATGTTAAAATCGGAGAATAGATAATCAGAAAGTACTTATTTATTTAAATTTACTACCTTTACATGTGCACATCTATTTCAAATTTTAATATATTCAGCATAGTATTTGCAATATTTTCTATTTAACTCAGAATGGGAGAAAAAGGTGTAAAATATCATTAATAATTATTATAAATTTTCAAATTATTATTAATGAAGAAATCTTTGCTCGTGATAATTATTTATGGTAAGTTATTCCATTTTCATTTTAAAAATGGTGGCTACAATGCAAGATTTCAACATGAAAGAAACTATCAAAATTTAAAAATAAAACCAGATTTTATTGTTTCATGTACAATAATTCAAACTAATGGTTCCTAAATGCAATATAAATTGCAAATTAAACACATATTAAAGTATTTTTTGGTTGAGGCTTTCTTATGGTTCTTATGGTTGAGGCTTTAATCCCTTTTTGAAATCAAAAATAAATGTCAGGAGAGATTAACATGCTTCATCTATTCATTTTTTTATCTATACTGACATGTTAATTAGTGCTTATGGAACTAATCTACTAATTACAATAAATCAAGCTTACCTAAACATGACCCATCTTTGGTGTTAAAATAACCAGCATTCAAACTAACTACACAATTGTGTTTTGCTGAAGTTTCAGCAACACTCTGTCGAATTTTTAACTTGCAACCGCCAGGTTGGTCAGGTTCCAGCACAGACAATGTTCGTAACGGATCAGGAACTACAATATAATGCCCTCGTGCAGTTCTCGGTGAAAATGGTGGAGACGGAATGGCTTTTACGAATCGTTTATGAATTATTAACGGCAACGAATTATTAGACTGATGAGCTTCAAACAATTCATGTGGTGGACTACCGTACATTTCCTGATGGCATTCGCGAATTGAACGATGACTCAGCCTGGATCCATGACGCCGAATGTAAGGAGTAAGACTTTCTGTACTGAAACATTTTAAAAGTAGATAAAAGCATTAATGCATATTACATGATCTAAATTAAAACATAAAATGTATGCGATGTTAGTAAATTTTAAAAATATTCTAATAATGGACTTCATTACAATACAAAATAACAAAATTACATTTAAATGCATTATCATTGGTATATATATCAGGGTTATTATTATTATTATTATTGATCGACGTACATTTACATTACCAAATACATAACGAAAAATACTCAAAATGCGTACTAATGAAAATACTAAAAATCGCGGTTTACAAAATATATACTTACAAAGAATACTTTCCATCGAATACTTCAGAATTACCTTCAATCAGATTTATATGAGGTAATAAGGCAAATAATAATAAGGGGATCATTGATGACTGGTGTAAAATATCAACGTCCAGTTTTAAAACTAATGAGTGTCACATTTAAAACCATACTGATAAGCACAGTAACAGTTAAATTACTTTCGTTTAATCAACGGAATGTAAAAAGTAGTAAACAATTGAAGGAAAAACAGAAAATATGTTTTTTACAGTGTTCAATGCATCAAATCCCCGAAAATGCATGTTTTGTTATTGGTCCTGGATGCCGATGTAAATAATAGGCTCGCAGATATCAACAACTTCCTGTGACGTTAAATCTTCGTCACTTCCGGGTGTCTGCTGGTTTCTGCTTCTCATCGTCGTGCGTGGAGTGTAGTGTAATGTTGTGGATTTGGAGAACAGTAGCGAACGAGAAAGGTTGTGTGTGACAACGGTATCTCTTCAGAAATAATGCGCTTAAATTAGCTATTATTCAGAAGTATGCGTAGGAGTTCTCTATTTACAATTCATGCGATGTTTGCCATGTGCTTCATATATTCATTCAAGTTTTGTCTTGGAATAAAAGGATTAACATTTCACGAGAACGAAATGCCTGTTTGTTTTGACGCTTGTTTAAACTCGTTGGATCAATAACGTTTGATTTTTCTGTTTCCAAAAGGGGAATGAATAAACTGTGCTGCTGCATTTAGAATTATTGAAAACAAATTAATCATTACTTAATTATAATTAACTTTAAGGGAATCAGTTATTAATTAATTAAAAAAGTTATGACTGCATTTAGTAATAAAACCTAGAAAACCTGAATGTAAAGCACATTCGTATTGAGAAAAAAGGAACTGTAATTCTAAAAATGGCAAGCAACGGTGATGTAGCTAGCCATTCATCAGGTAATTTTAAATGGCTATCAAGAAAATCACAATCGGTTGTTGGAGTGGACAAATTGCAGTCGTCATCGGAAACCCTACCAAAGTCGAATACAGTTCTTCCTGGCTTTCGTAATAATTTAATATCTGGAGAAAATTCTGGATCGCGATTTTTAGTGTTTAAAAATGACATCCGGCAAACAGCTTTTTCTGAATCTGAAGAAGGTTCTTCTAGTTCTAGACAAAGTTCTGTAGATTCATACTCATCATCAAATTCAAATGATGGTGTGAGTAATTCTGATCTAGGTCTAGTGGGTTCTACTAGTTCATCTCCAGTTCGTTCTGTGCCTAATAATCCTACAGGACCCAAATTTAAACTTATTCATGAAGGTGACATTCAAGTATGTCGATTAAACCACACGCGAACGGTTATCAGCAAGATTCTTAGTTCCAAGTTTTTAAGACGATGGGAAAATCACCACCTGTTCCTTAATCTCACCCAGATAACTTCAAAAACGGTAAGTAATAATAACTGCTAATTTTACAAGTGAACAATTTTAATTCTGGATAAATATCTGGCCTTGCATATTAATTAATAAACATTTAGTTTTAGTTTCTATATTTAATAGAATTTTATTTTAATAAATAAAGAATTTTGTTTTCTAAGTGCAGTGAGTAATTATAGCACTTACGAAAAATATTGCAGATGTCAACAATAAATTATGTGTGTATTTTTAAATTACTTTCGAGATTTGGGCAAAGCGCACCGTACTTTAGGAGGCCCCCAAGATTATATTGTAATTCTTCACAATTTTGCTCTTCTTCTTCTTCTTCTTCAAAAAAAAAAAAAAAAAAAAAGAGAGAGAGAGAATAGTAGGGGTTGGGGGGGGGGAGAATGCTGTGCATAGGTCCCCAGTTTGTCTTAAACGGGGCCCGCATGTGCTGTTATCATAATCGTTTGTTAAGTGAAATGTGAATTTTGTCATAATTTAATATTTTTGTGTAATTCCTTAAATATTAAACGCAGATTACTGGGAGCCAAAGTTAAAATACTAATCTCATTTATAAAACGGGGAATGCTGCGAAATCTCCGTAAAGGCGACCACAAAGGATTTTAAGCGTTCTTTTCTGTTGAACTGGATGATTTGCTGTACAACTGTGTATTGATGTTTAATACCGCTATTTATTTATGTTCTCAGTAATGCTGTCATGTCTCAGAGATAGTTGCCACGGAAGGTTTCATTATATTTAGACATAAGTTATCTTTTTTAGTTTAAACATGTCCAGTAAACGTCATTTTTTTTAATATTAAACGTCTCCGTCAAAGGACATTTATAAATAAGACAATGTGAAATTCATCTGAGTGTTGAACGAAATCCATTATATAAAATATTTTGAATGATTTTATAATTTTACGTTTCAGTCAGGAATAGAAAGTAACTTTTCCAGATGATCCATTCGCACCTGACATTTTTTATTTTCTAAAGAATAGCTTGTCACATCACACTCTTTGTTTGAATATATATTATGTATCTGAGAAATACTATTTATCTATGTATCTAAGAAACAGTCAAGAAATTTGTAAATTTATTTATGCATCCGTAGAATGTAACCATAGAATTACGCGCAGAATTTTCATCGTAGCATTTCAAGGCTAACTTCCCAAGGCTCTTCTCTGGTTTTCGTTTTTGTAAGTTTAATTCTTGTTTTGTTTTTGTATGTTTCAGTATAATTGTGGTTTAATATTTTGCATTCGGTTGTTCCTTCTGAGAAAACATCGTATCTTAACATATTAATTGGATGTCTGTTCTCAAGGGACATAAATCAAATGGAATAGAAACATGTTTAGTAAAAATTTTTGTGCTCCTGAAGAAGAGATATTTGTGACTGATCGCCCTCAAAATCTATAGTTTTATCCACAATCTATGCCAAAACAAGATGGATTTTTGCCTAATTTTAAGCATTAAAGTTTATTAGTGACTACACAGGATAAATTTGTGCTAGTATTAACGTTTTGAAAAATACATATTATCTTGAAAGTTATCTGTTGAAATGACATAAAAAATCGAATCAATGGTTTATATACCAAGACATGTAAAAAATATCAGCCGGTGTTACGTCGAATGAAAATTGAAGTTCAATCGCGGTGCCGTCTGAACTCTGTTATAGAGAGTTATTTGTACAGTAGATTTGTTTATGCTTTTCGTAGGTGCCGTATTGTTTGTTAAGTCTCTAGACTGAAGACAGTAGACTTGAAAAAACTGAACGCATTTCGTGTTATAAGTATAGAATGGTATATTGGGACAAAGTGCAGAATCTCCCACTGCCTGCCGCGTTTTTAAGAATTTCATATACATGGTATCATCCATATACACGTCGACCTATTTTCACTTAAAAAAACATCCCAGAATTGCACAAAAATGGCATTGCGCACACTCTTGACTTTATCCATGTACACTGCTAAAGTCCTAGCTAGTAACCTTTATCGCCTTACCAAAATGTCGCCAAACTACCTGTTACTATATTCCAAAGATTAGCCAAAGGGAGTTATTATCTGACCATGAAAGTTAGCGGAGATTCCGCCAAAGTTGTGCCAGTCGTTCCTGCAGAATTCTGAAGAAACTGAAACATCTTTGCTTAAACAATCAATATTTGACCCGCTTCTTTCTTGCGCTTCGTGAAAAAGGCTTTCCCCGATTTCTACTATTTTATTAGGCCTACCGATTTTACCTCTTGTTTCGAATGGTTTAAGTACAAGTTTCCCGCATGTGATTGTTCCAATTTATTACTGTTTTGTCGGGCGACCATATCGTGTACATTAAAACACACCGTTTTTAATGGTAGGATTCTATAACTATGAAAATAATCCATTGCTTAGGGTTCTGTTCCATTGCTACTGTAATAAATTTTAATATTTTTTTTTTCAAAATGCAAGAAACAAAGCAGCTACAGTTAATGTAATTCTTGCTCATAGAAACAAACAGAGAATCAATTAGGATTACATTAAAGGAAAATGTAAATGTTACAAATATGTTGTTACATCATATTTTGCCGAATATGTTGATACATAATTAAAGTACGCTTTGGCCGCCAGTCGGATAATACCGATTAGAATAAGTACCGAAAAATCTTCCATTAAACCATCTAGTCCTTGCAGATAACCCTTTGGGCTTTGCCATATAAGGTTAAACAACGAAATCTTTAACTAAAATTGATGATTTTTTATTTTTTTAAGCTTCAAGGTCGCCATGTATATCATGGACAACTATAATTCGCCATGGATAAAGTGTTTTATTTTTCAGGTCACCTTGCATGTGTTACACCTTGTGTAATGAATAAGTAAACTTTCCTTAGTAAGACTTCCACGTAGCATACCTTTCTTAGACAAATAAGCATCGCTTGCTTGACCGTAATGCTGCTCTAGAGGTATAGTAGTTAGGGGAGCCTACTGCGATACCTTTAGGTGCTTCCACAATAAAATGGCCACCACTTCTTGCCTTAGCAGTGGCCAAGCCTAAGTCGGTTAAGTACCGCTAATGGAGGGGAAAGCTTGACTAATCTATTAACCAGCAGACCCCCCTTACGACCACCAGCGGCCGAGCGGTTAAGACGCTGAACACTGGTAGTTCGGTCCAAGTTTCGAATCCCGCAAACGGGCTGGTTGCATGGGCGTTTTCGTGGTTTTCCCCATGTGTAACGTGTATATGAGCCAGTTTCCCTTAGAAAGCCCTCCACAAAGGCATCCCTTCCTTCAGGCAGATAGCCCTCTTGTGCTTTGCCATAATTGAATAATCCAATCCGTACCCCCCCCTTATGGCTGCCATCATTCCTGTCATTATTCATTATTTGCCTATTCTTGGTTTTCTTACCAACTAAGACTGTTTTAGCATGAAAACTACATGCAAAATTTTTCACAATTGTTCTGAAAAAAAGTATTTTTGGTTCACTAAAATGTTTTTGGTTCACTTTGCAGAAATGAAGCATCTGAAACTTTGTCATTGTTGGCTTCTAAATTTTTTTTCTTTGTTGCAAGAATAGCGACGAAATCAAAATTCATGTTGCAGTGTATCTTAAACTTTTGATATGTACGTGTGAATGTAATTCATAATCATACAAGAGGCTCATGAAAAGCACATTTCATTATTTAGCTTTTATCTGTCTAAATGATCTTAATAAAGACCTTGTAGTTGTAGCCACAAATCAATCTATAAACTACTTACAGGGAAATTGCTTCTTTTGTTCTGGTGGAAATTTCATAGCGATCGCTTTAAGAATGGATGCAAAGCAATTGTAAGTGAATTTGCAGCATAATATTATATTCCCTCAGAAATTTTACTGCAGTTTCTTCTAGTGCAGACAAATATACAAGTGCATATTTTAA